ATGCAAAATTATGCTAAACAACCTAAAGAGATCAAAAATTGCACAGCACTTTATACGAACACTAACATCAAGATGACTGTGTGTGTGGTCGGAGACGTGTGACATCAACTTTAATCTGCCCTGAGACTCATAGTCACAGTGAAGTCTAATTGTTAACACAAGGCCTAATCCTCGAAGATGTCCCGACACAGTACTGCTGAGTGACACCCGCTTACACCAGAGCAACACCACCCGCATTCAGTGCACAACGCTGCTAATGCACATCTGCACTTACTGCTCTTTTGTGCAGCAGTTTATGGAGGGATTAGGAGCAAAATCTCGGACCTCTTTTCTGCCGTTTTAGCAGCAAAACACATCCCTGAGCTTCCACCCGCCACAGCGTAACATGTCTGATGATCAAGAATGACACAGACTAAAAACTGCCTGGATTAGAACAAACGCACATTCCATTTAATACAGAATGACTAATGTAGGATACATTCTCATGCATTTAGGTCTCATGTGTCCAAATTAATTTGCTTTTGCATAGGCAACACTTCTTCTTCCTTCACATGTAATCTGTTGACCACCAACGTCATTCAGAGGAATTATTTGTCCGTTGTGTTCTACTGTATACTGAAATTAGTCAAATTATTGAATCAGTTTAACTCTGTTGAACATGCAAAAGAAAATTTTAAATCTTTTTGCATGTCCACACACATTCACATAACATTTTAATGGCATATAGTGGTCATTTACAATCTTTTTTTTTAAATGTTTAATTACTTATTAATCATTTATAATGTTAATTATTTTGTAGGGTTTTGAAAGGTATTATTTGATCAAAAATACAGAAAATTTTAATATTGCGAAATATTATTAGTTTAAAATAATAAGTCGTTCAGATTCCTTTATAAGGATTAACGGCTCGTGTGAAGTAATGGATGCCGAAGATTCAGCTTCACCATCACATTTTAGCATATATTGAAATGAAAAAAGTTATTTTAAATTGTCATATATTTTAGCAATGGGAGCAGAGACAAATAGCAGGCTTTCAAAGTCTGAGGAAGAATAATATCAATTGTATTATATTAGGCAAGTCGGACAGGAGGACATTATCTCTATCGGCAGGACAAGGTCACCCACACATGCCACACTCACATGTGTAAGGTACTTCGGCCGCCCACCAGCAGCAAACACAATGTTTTTGGCGGTCACTGTCATCTGTGAATATGAAGATGCAGGGTAAACAGGAATGCGGCACATCAGGTATATGGTTAAATATGTTTCAGAGAATTAAGTGTTTTAAACTAAAGCAATAAGCCCCAAGAAGCCACTTCGTGTCGTACCTAACAACGCCCCCCCTTCGCTGTTATAAATTCACTGCAAACCACGGCTTCACTTTTGCTTTTATATAACAGATCATATCACATTAAATACCAACACATGAACCGAAGTTGTCTACTGCCATCATAACTCTCCATGCATGCCAATTTCTACAAATTCATGGAGATGAAGGAAACCTCAAGATTTGACCATAAATTCAAGATTTTGATGTTCAAACCCGACCTGCCACGTCTGCTGTACTTTAGTACAATTTATCATTCTCTGTGTTCATATAGCCTCAGCCTGCAATTACCTAATGAAACGGTGAAAGAGATCTACTGCAAAATAAAGAGTCTTCATGCACTACATTTTATTTTCTACATTACATTTTCTATTTATTTTTTCCCAACAGCTTTAACGACAAAATAGCAAACAGTTAAAGATGCTCTCGATTGAGAAATGGCCTCTAAATGCAATATGTAATCAACATATCAACAAAAAATTAAGGGGGTCTGAATACTTTCCGTACCCACTGTATATATATATATATATATTAAAATATATATATTGTATTAGTTATCTATTTTAGTTACAGTTGTAGTAATGTTGTCACTTTTTATTATGTCTATATAGGTTTTTTATTAAGTTTTAGTTTTATTTAATTTGAGTTATTTCAAAGGCTTATAAATCATTCAGAATCTGACTATGATGATAGAATGAAAATCTAAAAATGCAGAAAGTCTCCTGTGAGGGGTAGGTTTAGGGGTAGGGTTGGTGTAGAACAATAGAATATACGGTCTGTACAGTATAAAAACCATTACGCCTATGGAGAGTCCCCATAAACCATAAAAACCAGCATGAGTGTGTGTGTGCGTGTGTGTGTGTGTGTGTGTGTGTGTGTGTGTGTGTGT